ATTTCCAAGGTCACAAAAGTACACCAAGCAAATCCATGGGCTATGTTGTGGTTTCATCTTACACCTTGCTCTCCTGGCTTCTCTGATCTTTTTTATCATTCTAAGTGGCACCTCTCTTCTCTCTCATTGTCCCTTGGTAGTCTGAATCCTCTCAACATTTGCTTCTTGTCTTGCTGTTCTTTCGCAGGACAATCTCATCCATTCACATTGTTTCAGCTACCAGTCCTGTCTGCATCATTCACAATTCTACCTTTATGCTCTTGACTCCTCACCCTTTTTGCCTAGGCTTACACATGTGACATACTATTTTCTCTCAGAAATCTCTTTGGCTGTACTGCTGTACATGGCATTTCTAAAATTAAATCTTTCATCTCTCCCCTTGTCCTGTTTCAACATTCTTTACTATAGTTGGCAATTCCATTATCCTTCTTCTCCTTAGGCTAACAGTCTCAAGGGCTACAGAAGTTAAATGTTACTTGTGTTTTTCTTCTTATTACTGTATTCTTATTTCTATTGCCTCCTCTTTTCCTCCTTCACAATATGTATGTTCTTGCCAAATCCTGAAACTTCTTCCTGATTCTATTATTTTTCAAACATCTTTCTTTTCCTAGGGTACACCCTAAGAAAAGAACCCTACACAACACCTTAAACTCGAAATAAGATATGCAATTGGTGCTATGCAAATTGTGTATCTTATTTCAAATCTATTTCAAAATAGCTTCTTTTGAAATTTGGTGCATCTATAAAGCACCAAATTTTGACAATGTGCTATTTCGAGACGTCTCTTAACCCTTGTGCAATGAGGTTTACTGGGATGGTGAAATAGAGTGCCCATTATTTCAAAAAATATTTTGAAATCACAGGCTGCTCATGTAGACGCGGGATAGCTGTGCAGTGTAGATGTACCCTTAGCTTAGTTTTTGCCTGTGAAAAATTCTACATAAATAATAAATTGTTTGCATGGATTTTTTCTTTGATTGTTTTTGGTGGGAGGTGGAGGGAGAAGGAAGCTTTTGAAGAAATGAAAAACATTGCCTCCAATCCACAACATTTTCACTGGCAAGTTGTGGATTTAAGAAAAGTTAAAAAGTTAGTTAAAAATTATGTTTCTCACCAAAATTGCTATTTAGATTAATAAGTCCTTTTTCTGTCAAACAAAATTTCAACAGAAATTTTTCAACCAGTAATTTTGGTTATGCTTTATTTTAACTCTAAGATAATTTGCCCTGTTTTCTCTATTGTGTCTGAGCCCATTGTCATGTAGTCCATGTAAAGTCATAGAGGGAATTGTAACTCTCTTTTTCCCTTGTATGAACACATATTCATATCCTTAAATGTCATCAATAATATTATAATTGGACCCCTTTGTTTGTATTCTTTGGTTAATAGCCTGTGTTGTGGTCTCTAGGCATGACATGTTTTGGGAAACTGTTCTATCTATAGACTGGTGGGTAAATTGGAAGAAATACAATGCTGGAAAAGATTTGTATTTCTGGATAAGACAGATCAGAAGAGAAGCTGTATAGGAACTGTAGTTACATAAATGGTCTAAGTTTTTTCCTCCCCTTTTATGATAATGTTTTTATTTCTAGTTTAAGAGGTAGGATTTGTATTTGTCATGTCTTGCTTAGCATCCGAGTTTATGTCCAGCATGAGTAAACAATATCTAAGGAACAGTGGGCCCATCTAGACTATGCTAGAGAGTCGAAAGAGGATATGCAAATTCCATGGTAATTTGCATATCTTCCTATGATCTCACTTTCGAAAGTTCCGCTTTCCTCAAAAAATGAGGTTTACATGGCTTTTCGAAAAAGGGGGGGTTGCCGAAAAAGCTGCATCCTGACTACTTGCATTTTCGAAAGCTCCGCTTTCAAAAGTGAGATCAGAGAAGATATGCAAATTCACACAGAATTTGTATATCCTCTTTCGAATCTTCCTCTAGCATTATCTAGATGAGCCCAGTGTTCCCTCTGAGCACAATGGTTGCACAGCTTCACAGGTGATTATTCAGTGCCACCCAGTTCTCAGCTCTGTGCGTGGAGTCCTGAGCCTTCAACTGGGTGGGGCTGATTAATCACCTATGAAGCTGTGCTGCCACCCAACTTAGAGGAAACACTGCTCAGGAATACTGTCTATATTGCTTTGTTGCAACCTGAAATATTTTATGAAAATGTGTAAGGAAGAAATAAAATATTTAAAAAGCCATCACAGTGCCATTGATCAACAACAGAAAAAGAAAACAAAAGAAGCATAAATGTTAGTGGATGTTGCATACTAGCAGTGTAATCTAGAAGAAGAAGTCAATTTGAAAATAAATTTCTGTAGGGGGTTAAAAGCTTAATTTTTCCAGATTGCATTTTTTAATTTTCTTGTTAATGAAAATGGGACGTATTTTATAGTGAGCAATCACTGCAAAAATAGAGTTGTTCTCAACAAATGTAGTATTGCCAACCCCAAGTGTTCAAAATGTTTCACTTCACATTTCAGTAGTCAAGACAAGAGAAAGTGCCAAGCAAGGGACTAAGATTTTAACAGTGGGAATAGAAGAAGGAGAAGGTGGCATGATTTCATGGCAACCTGAGTGTTGGAGAGATTAATATGACATCAGCAATTTGAGCCAAAATAATTGAGAGGATGGTGAAGGAGGGAAGTGTCAAGACTTAACAGAAAGATTCAGTTTCTACCAGGTTCAGGTTGAATTGGCAATTGGATATTCCAGAATAGATGTTAAAGAAAGAGCATCAGATAGAGCATCCTTGATCACGGGGTGCTCTTCCAGGAAGGACTGGTTGGCGGAGATGGAGTTCACCTTTCCAGGAGCGGGAAGGCCTTGTTTGGACACAGACTGGCTAACCTTGTGAGGAGGGCTTTAAACTAGGTTTGTCGGGGGCAGGTGAGCAAAGCCCACAAAGATAACGAGCCTTGTGGATAAGGGAGAAGCGGTGGATGTCATATACCTAGACTTTAGTAAGGCATTTGATACGGTCTCGCATGATATTCTTATTGATAAACTAGGCAAATATAACTTAGATAGGGCCACGATAAGGTGGGTGCATAATTGGCTGGATAACCGTAGTCAGAGAGTTGTTGTTAACGGTTCTAAATCCTGCTGGAAAGGGATAACAAGTGGAGTTCCTCAAGGGTCTGTTTTGGGACCCGTACTGTTCAATATCTTCATCAATGATGTAGATATTGGGATAGAGAGTACTCTTATTAAGTTTGCAGATGATACCAAACTGGGTGGGGTTGCAACTTCTTTGGAGGATAGGGACATAATTCAAAATGACCTTAGCAAGTTAGAGAAATGGTCGGAGGTAAACAGGATGAGGTTTAATAAGGAGAAATGCAGAGTGCTCCACTTAGGAAGGAACAATCAGTTCCATACATACAAGATGGGAAGCGACTGTCTAGGAAGGAGCATGGCGGAAAGGGATCTAGGGGTCATAGTGGACCACAAGTTGAATATGAGTCAACAGTGTGATGCTGTTGCCAAAAAAGCAAATATGATTCTAGGTTGTATCAACAGGTGTGTTGTAAGCAAAACTCGTGAAGTCATTCTGCCGCTCTATTCTGCACTAGTTAGGCCTCAGCTGGAGTACTGTGTCCAGTTCTGGGCGCCACATTTCAAGAAAGATGTGGAGAAATTGGAAAGGGTACAGAGAAGAGTGACAAGAATGATTAAAGGTCTAGAGAGCATGACCTATGAAGCCAGGCTTCATGAACTGGGCTTGTTTAGTTTGGAAAAAAGAAGATTAAGGGGGGACATGATAGTGGTTTTCAAATATCTAAAAGGGTGTCACAAGGAGGAAGGCGAAAATTTGTTCCTCTTGGTTTCTGAGGACAGGACATGGAGTAATGGGCTTAAAGTGCAGCAGGGGAGGTTTAGATTGGACATTAGGAAAACATTCCTAACTGTCAGGGTGGTCAAATATTGGAATAAATTGCCAAGGGAGGTGGTGGAATCTCCCTCTCTGGAGATATTTAAGAACAGGTTAGATAGACATCTGTCAGGGATGGTGTAGACGGAGCTTGGTCCTGCCTTGAGGGCAGGGGGCTGGACTCGATGACCTCTCGAGGTCCCTTCCAGTCCTATGATTCTATGATTCTATGATTCTATGATAGTAAAAATAATAATATATACTGAACTCTTATATAGTGTTTTGAATCAGTAGAAATCAAAGCAAGAATGAATGGAGGGGAAGAAATCAGAGCAAAGAGATTAGGGAATTATTAATGTAGTAAGTAGTAACCAAAAGAATGAGAGCAGATGAAATCAGTTAGCACTGGGTAGAAGCAGTATACTATCTACATATTAACATGGGACCCTTGTGCCTAAGCCCTGCTTAGGGTGATAAGTGCAAGGATTCACACACACACAAGTTGTCACCTGTCCTGGTAAGAGACCACCATCATTCCTCATGTACCTCCTCTGGCTTCTGAACCACCACTTCTTGTCTACAAGTTGGCAGCAGGGATGTGAGGTCTCAGCATGCCCAAGATATTTTGATGTTACCCACTTTGCTGACCAACCAATATATGAGAAAAATATGGGACAGGGAATGATGAGTCTCAGTCTTGTAAAACGATGAGATGTGTGCCTGATATCTGCAGTATAAAAGCAAATAATGGAAAGTCCTGGAAAGAAAGACCATGGTTCCCATCCTGGAGAAAATACACTTTCTTTACAGTCATTACTCCATATTTACACTGGTGTAGCTGAGAGTAGAGTTTGGCTCAGTTTCTCTTTCTAACTTCAGATCTGATAACCGTGGGTGATGTCAGGAAAATATGCTTGGTCTTGAGATACTAGTAAACTACAGCCCCTTCACTGAAGTAGAGAGTAATAAATGTATCACTTCTGTATTAAAAAGTGCACAGTGGATAACTGATCAGAATTTCTTTTTGTATGAATGCTTTTGTGTCCTCTTAGTAGGTAAGTTAAAATACACATCTTTTTACATATGAAAGCATTAACGATCTCTCTCTTTCTATGCAGTCGAGGTACTGAGAATAGGCTAGCACTTCGTCGACAGACCATACTCCGGGAAAAGGGCAGAAGGCTGGCCAATCGAGGACCAGCGTACATGTTTAATGATCGTTCTACTAGCCTTTCTCTTGATGAGGAGCGTTTTTTGGATGCAGCAGAATATGGGAATATTCCTGTGATTCGTAAAATGTTAGAAGAATGTACATCACTAAATGTGAACTGTGTGGACTACATGGGACAGAATGCTTTGCAGCTCGCAGTTGCCAATGAGCATTTGGAGATTACAGAACTTTTACTAAAGAAGTTGAACCTGTCCCGGGTTGGGGATGCTTTGCTCTTGGCTATTAGTAAAGGTTATGTTCGGATAGTGGAAGCCATCCTAAATCATCCTGCCTTTGCTGAAGGCAAGAGACTTGCATTAAGTCCCAGCCAATCAGAATTCCAGCATGATGACTTCTATGCATACGATGAGGATGGAACCCGGTTCTCTCATGATGTTACTCCAATCATTCTGGCTGCTCATTGTCATGAGTATGAAATTGTCCACACACTTCTGAGAAAAGGTGCTCGCATAGAAAGGCCGCATGACTATTTCTGCAAATGCAGTGAGTGCAATCAAAAGCAAAAGCATGACTCTTTCAGCCATTCTAGGTCCAGAATCAATGCCTACAAAGGTCTGGCAAGCCCTGCCTACCTTTCCTTGTCCAGTGAAGACCCAGTATTGACTGCCTTAGAACTTAGCAATGAGCTGGCTGTGCTTGCAAACATTGAAAAAGAATTCAAGGTAAGTGTATGGTCAACAGGTTCTGATTTGTACAGAATTAGAGAAGTCAGTTAATGTGCTGTCCCCATCCCTGCTTCTTCCAGAATAATAATGAGAAACAATGTGGAATGCTAATGGTAAGAATGGATGGTGCAGACCACCAGAACTTGATGTGTCACTCACATTCTCTTTGACAGTTGACTGATATCGAAGGAACATGGAGATTCAGCTACCTTCTGACCTCTAGAAGTGGTCATTCAGGGACAGGGCTATCATCATGCATTGGTAGGGCAAAGTGAAGTAACTTATACCTGTTTTGTGGACTGATATCTTCAATACCTAGGAGTCAGCTTATTGCCCTTTGTGGGTTACCAGTATTGCAATTGATAGGGTAGGGAGTGAAATGATTGCATTGAACTGCTATTCCCCTTCCTGTTCAGGTGTGTGGGAGCTAGTCAAGCAAAGGTGGGAAATGAGCACAGCCTTGGCTTTACCCCACTATACTCTGGCCCACTGAGCCTGCACAGAAGGGAAAGTAAGTTGCTTCAGTGTTAGGAAACTGATCATCTAGACAGTGTAGTGCAGCATTGAAGTATTGTCTGGCTTATGCAAAAATATTCTCTTACTTTATCTTCACCCCTTTGTAGGTCCTCTAATGACTCCCACCAACTTCATTGTTTCCTGCTCTAGAATCCTACTGCGGTCACTTCTGATTTTCAGTAGCAGGCTCTGGGTCAGATCTCTCTTTGCGGGAGGCTGGTCATTGCAGGGATGGATTGGTGTGGCCCAAGCATCTAGACCTCACAGCTACGCAAGAATTTCCTTTGATGCCACTGGGAGTTTGCTAGGGTTTCCCTGTGCTGAGCTCCCTGTCTCCCTGCTTCCAAACCAAAAACTGAAACTAAACTATCTCTGTCTATCTGAGTCAAGCTGCCCTCTCACTGGGCCTCAGTAATGGTTTCTATGTCCTTCTGTCTCCATCCCGGAGACCAAGAATGTTTAGAATTGAGATCAGGGGATTCTGATAGCCATTATATTTGGAGTTGTTCTGAAAAGGTTTCCTTAGAGGCCTAGTGTGCTGCTCCAGGCCCTGGCAAACTCCATGGCTACGGCTAGACTGACAAGATTTAGTGCAAATACTCTAAACGCAAGAGTTTTTGCATTAGAGTATTTGAGTAAGAGAGCGTCTATACTGGCATGTGCCTTTGCGCAAAAGATTTGCGCATTTTAGCCCTTGGGCTTTCTTGAGCAAGAAATTGATGTTACCTGTCTACACTGGCCTCTTGCACAAGAATACTTGTGCAAGAGGGCTTATTCCTGAGTGGGAGCGTCAGAGTATTTGCGCAAGAAGCACTGATTTCATACAGTCGAACATCAGTGTTCTTGCGCAAATACTCGTGGCCAGTGTATACAGGCGGCAAGATTTTGCGCAAAAGTGGCCACTAAATCTTGCCAATGTAGACACAGCCCATATATATAGGGTAGAGAGGGGTTACATCTCAATTATATTAATTACTCCTCATGAATGCTGGTAAGTGATTCTCCTGAGCTCCAGCTGGGTTATAAGAAAGTTCGACATCTCTGGGGGAGAGGGAACTAGAGATTGGAATAGAGGAGGTTCTGCACAGAAAGCTTAGGAACAGCATGTCTTGTGAGGAAGCATATTGAGTTTGTAAGTTTTGCTCCTGTTTTTGTTGTCAGTAAGGTCAAACAAGTGGGTATGTGTCAACAACACACACTATATCTAATTCTGGTCTCAATGAAGTCAATGAATAGAAAAATCCTTCCTTATTCATCATAAACTCATCCTGTTAAATTCACTGCTACATTAAGACCAATGTGACTGGATTTAGAGGAAGTCAATATGGAAAAGTTTGTGTTCCAGGCTGAGCAGCCAGTTCTGGCTTAGTTTAAGTAGTTCAGAACTTTTCAAAATTTGCTGAAAGGCACTCTTCAACATGTGGCTAGATGAGCAACATTCCACAGTTTGGCTCTTTTAAAATGAGTGTTAGCCAGCCTTTCCTTTCTTCTAAATCATATGCTCTACCACCAAGCTGTTACCTGAGTGTTCATAGAGTTATAAATTATATGTGATGAACATTGTCCAAAATAAATATATTCTGCAGTCTTGACAGAGACATTTGTGAGTCAGTGCTATTACGACATTAACAGGATTCCTCTTTAATACCAAAATCCTCTTTAGCCAAAAAAGACAGAGCAGGATTCTGTTTTATACTTGATGAGGTAGTAGTGGAATATTTTAAACAAATGTAGGTGTGTTACTATTTGGCACAAATAGTTAATTGCTATAGAATGTGAAGTTTGTCTCTCATGTTTCCATTTTCACTCAGGCTGTGTCTACACTGGGCCACTTATTCCGGAAAATCAGCCGCTTTTCCGGAATAAGCTGCGAGCTGTCTACACTGGCCCTTGAATTTCCGGAAAAGCAACGACGGAAAAACTATTCTGCTCCTGCTCGGGCATAAGTCCTTATTCCGGAACACTGTTCCAGAAAAGGGCCAGTGTAGACAGCCCAGTAGTCTTTTCCGGAAAAAAGCCCCGATCACGAAAATGGCGATCGGGGCTCTTTTCCAGAAAAGCGCGTCTACATTGGCCACGCACGCTTTTCCGGAAAAAGGGCTTTTCCGGAAAAGCAGCCTGCCAATGTAGACGCTCCTTTCCGGAAAAACTGAAAACGGAATAGTATTCCATTTTAAGCATTTCCGGAAATTCATGCCAGTGTAGACACAGTCCCTTTGTTGCATGAAGAAAACAAGCACAGAGTATCAATCTTAAATCTGAATTTCTGTCTAACTTTGATTTTCATATGACCTCCATAATTACAGTTCTGAACATCTCACAATTTTCAGCGCATTTATTCTCTCACCACTCCTCAGAGATAGAGAAATACTATTATCTCCCTTTTCCAGATTGGGAATTGTACAGAGAGGTTAAGTCTATGCTAAATTTGCAAGCAATTTCTGTCAGCCTTACACATACAGGCAGTTGATTTACAATTATCGTCCTCTAAATAAACAATAGACTAAAAATCTTTGAACATTCATGAATATTTATCCTGGCGAAGGTGTGCTATTTCAAACCATTATTTGGAGGGAAAACCTGCCGCCAGTAAGAGAGCTGCTATGCACTAGGGCTAAACACGGTAGCTTTTTTTTTTTTTTTTTTTTTTTTTAAAGGATACAGGCCATCAGCACGCTTGTGCTGCTTCTGCACTTACCTGAGGGTTTCATCTATAGCCAGTGCATAGCATAGTGGAGGCTCTCTGTGCAATAGGTGTAAACAGCTCTCTGTATTGTATCCTTCCTGACATGGGAGTCTATTTATTGACTTTGATTTTTATCTACTTCAGTTTAACTATCCAATTTTCAGATACTTACTGATGTTCTGTCTCCCACTTCCCTCTCTTTTTCTTTCCTCCTCCTCCCCTTCCCCTCTCTTATTTATTTTGGGTGTACATATCCCAAACTCATCCGGTCATCTGAAGAAGTGGGCTGTGCCCATGAAAGCTCATGATACTATCTATATGTTTTGTTAAGTCTATAATGGGCTACCAGATCATTTGTTGTTTTTTTTCTGTAACAGACTAACTTGGCTACCCCGTGAAGCTTCATAAAATGGGTTAATCTGCTTTCCACATCCAGATTAAGTATACACTTTCTTTGCCACTTTATGACAGATTTCAGATGCCTAGACTTAGATGACATTATTTAAAAATCTCAAAGGGGTTGCCGTGTCAATCTGTAACTTTAAAAAAATGAGTGGTCCTGTAGCACTTTAGGAGACTAACGAATATATATATATAGTATCATGAGCTTTTGTGACCAAAATCCACTTCCTCATCTTCAGATACTATACAGTATATATGTTTTTTGCTAGTCTCTAAGGTGCTACAGAACTACTCGTTATTTTAAAATGTTTGTGTTTAGCCTTTTTTTTTTTTGCACTATTGGAACAAATACCTGATTTAAATTAAATGTGAAACGGGGATACACTCATCAGGCTAATCTACCCAAGTAACAAACTGTTGTTCTGGTATTATAAAGGAATATCAAGCATTGAGCCCAGGACAACCCGGGGGAGGGGAGGAGGAACAGGGCCCAGGACAACCCCCCCTTGCTCAGGCCCCACTCCTGTCCCACCTCTTCCTGTGGATGTTCTGCCCCCAATCCATATGAGAACATAAGGAAGGCCATACTGAGTCAGACCAAAGATCCATCTAGCCCAGTATCCTGTTTTCCAACAGTGGCCAATGCCAGATGCACCAGAAGGAATTAACAGAACAGGTAATCATCAAGTGATCCCTCTCCTGTCATCCATTTCCAAACGCTTATAAACAGAGGCTAGGCACACCATTCCTACCCATTCTAGGTAATAAGTATTGATGGACCTAACCTCCATGAATGTATCTAGTTTTTTGTTGAAGCCTGTTAAAGTCCACATCTTCCCCCAAATCCCCTAGCATGAGTGATACGGCCTGGGGCATTAGCAGGGGGTCTGGCAGTGGCAGTAGGGGTCAGGTCCTCCCCTGCACTGACCAGCAGCAGTGGGAAGCAGAGCAACCCAGCTGCAGCCCACTTCACTGGTTACCAGGCATGTCACTACGCTGCTGGTGAGTGCCGGGGGCACACCCACCCCTTTTCCCAAAACCCTTCCCTTGAGCAATGGCACTGGGTGTTGGGGGAGTGGAGTCAGTTGGGACCAGGTTGCTTTGTTTCCTGCTCCTTACCCCCAATTCCTGCTTCTGGCACTAGGCCCCTCACTAGCACAGGGTCCAGGGTGGTTGTCTCAAACCATACTGTAGACAAGGATGGCTCAGATTGGGCCTATAGGTTTGGGGAATGACAGAGTTTAGAGAATACAGACCCCTGAATTTACAGCAGTGATAATTAGTCACATGCCTGCCAGAGTACTCCCAGATGTCCGGTATTAGAGTAGGAAGGATTAAAAGGAGAAGAAGTGAATAGAGAAAAATAAAAAGTGGGAGCATGATGAATACTTGTAATGGGTGGAATGAGTGTTAATAAAAGTACCACATAAAGGAAAATTTAACATAGTAAAAAGGCATGGAGTATTGTTTTAACTGGAGACAATACAAAGTTTATTTAATCCTTTTATGAATGATTAGAAAAATCACTAAAGACATCAAAGTTGATGGATGGTGTTTCTCAGTAAACATCTTGTGACTGGGTCCCGAGAGGCCAGATGGCCTAGTGCAGTGGTCTCCAACCTTTTTTAAACATGAGATCACCTTTGAATTTAAGTGCAATCCAGGATCTACCTGAAACCCAAACATCCTTGACCCCCTTTCTTTCCCACCCATTCTCATTCCATCCTCCCTCCCCCATTCTCACTCACTTTTATCAGGCTGGGGGCAGGAGCTTGATGTGCAGGAAAGGTTCAGGACTGGGACTGGGGTTGAGAATGTGGGCTCCAGCTGAGAACCGCTTACCACAGGTGGCTCCTGCTTGGTGGTGTAGGAGGCTAAGGCAGGCTCACCCCTACCCTGGCCCTATACCACTCCCAGAAGCAGCCAGTAAACTCTCTCTATCCCTGTCCCCCTCTGCTCTGTGAAGATGGGGTACAGGGTGGAGGGAGTGACACCCTGATACCAGCATCCCATGCCCTGCAAAGCAAGCAGGAGGCTCCCAGGGGTGAGGGGCACCTCCAAGGCAGAGGGCAGGCAGGGTTGCCAGGTAGACCCTGCCAAAAACCCGGACACACTTGATCATGGGCAGGGGAGGGACAGGCCAGGAGGGGGGTGGGGCAGGAAGCAGAGGTGTCTGGAGGGGGTCTGGAGGCTGCAGGGCTAGCCGGGAGGAAGCAGGGGACAGGAAGCAGAGCTTGGGGGGCTGCGGGGCTGGACGGGAGGAGGGGGAGCCCAGAGGAAGGGAGGCGGGAAGCAGAGTTGGCAGTGGGTG